CTCCTCCACGATCCCCCTTTTCCTTTAATCTTCCACTAGATTCAAGCTTAAATTTCCCCTTCTTCCTCCAAAAAATCAACTTTTGCTCAGCAGTGAAGAGCCAGCCGTGAGTCCCTCACGTCCCGAAGAAATCTCCAATTGCCCTTGACGTGAGTGGCTCCAAAAGGATTATCACCAGTTTAAAGCAGCTAGGGACAGGGACAAATGTGGGCACCTGAAGGGTGGGTTTGCCTTGGGAAAGTGTCACCCTCCATGTCATTCCCTAGCGACACTGCTGCAGCAGAGCCCCACGATCTGGAGGTGGGACATCTGGTCTGGAGGTGAGACACATCTCTGTGGATCTTACAGTACCAAAACCCAGTAAAAAACTACAGTTGGCTGCACAGCAAACTCGACATCTCTCCTGTGGGCAAGGGACCCAATCCAGCACATCATTAGCTCGTTAGAGCCCACCAGATGGGCTCCCCAGGGAACTGGGTGCTCTCAGCTGTTGCCAATAGCCCTTATGGAAGGTACGGCGAGCATCACCTGGGGTGGGAGATGTGGCCTATAAATGGTCCCTGGGAGGAGCTACTCCTTGTGCTGGACCCTGGTAGGCAGGATGAGGTTTGCAAGCAGCCTGGGGTTTGTGCTTTTCTGCTGGGTTTTTGGGGAGGTGGTTGCATACAACCCCTGGGGCTTCATTAGAGGTGAGGCAGAACTATGGAGGTATGGAGGGGATCTTTCCTTGGGGCAACCCCGTGCCTTCTCCCAGCCCTCTCCCTGGGCATGGGTGGATGTCTCCCAGCTGCAGGCTGCTGCCTCGCTACACCCTGTGGCCGTGGAGTGCCAGGAGGCACAGGTGGTGGTCACGGTGCACAGGGACCTCTTTGGCACGGGGCGCCTGGTTAGGGCTGCGGAGCTGACCCTGGGCTCGGCTGCCTGCCTGCCTGCAGTCTGGAGTGCTGCTGAGACTATGGTGACCTTCGTGGCTGGACTGCATGAGTGTGGCAGCACCCTCAGGGTAAGGCTGTGGGGGGCTGGAGGCCTAGGGTGTGGGTCTGCCTCTTGGCTTGCACCTCAGTGCCTTGGGATGCCAAGACTGGCAAGAGATTGTGGTGTACCTGGGCTCAAGGAAGTGCTCAAAAGCCTTTCCTAGAGGCTGAATATCTCAGTCTGCTTTTCAAGGTCAGCAGAAGCTGTGCTGTCCTGTCTGGGGCTAGTTCTAGTGTTGTGTGAGCAGGGAAGGGCACACGAGAGGCAGGGAAACTGTTTTTTTTCTGATGACTACAGAGGTATCTAAGTCTTCCAGGACTACTTACGCTGTTGCTGCCACCTTCAGGGTGGAGCCCAGATGACCTGGTGCTGGGAGCCACTGCAGCAGTGGATGCTTGCCTCAGGAGGCATCTGAGTGCTACCTACTGCTGCTTGAGTGTAGCATGAAGCTACTCCACAGGAAACTTAATTTTGGTTTCTTTCCCCTGGGAGAGGCTTGTGACTGTGAGGGTAAGCAGGTGTCCCCCACGTTCCATCCAGCAGATATCTTCATTAAATGCCACTGAGAAGAAGTCACCCTCTGATATTCTGGGGGACAGACTTTCCTGTCTGTTGTTCTGGGGTATGGCAACTAGAAGAAAGTAAGGATCAGCTTAAGCACCTCTGCATCCAGCTCCACTTCTGACCAGAGGGTGTCCTGGGACAGGCTGGAGCAGCTTCTCAGCCCAGAGCATCCCTGCAGCAGGATGAGTGACACTCACCTGCCTCCACCACAAATGCTATGAGAAGAAACATCTCAGCACTGAGTCTAGAGGCTTCAGTGTGCTGCTCTGTGTGTGTGGACAAGGAACAGGCTCTTAATGATGGGATAATGTGTCTTGTCTTTTCCCCAGGTGACCTCTGATACTCTAGTCTACAGCACCAGCTTAAATTACAAGCCGACCCTGTTATCATCCGCACCAACCCTGCTGTGGTTCCTATTGAGTGCCACTACCCAAGGTGAGCCAATGCAGATGAGGGCCAAGCAAGCCCTTCTGCTGCCACAGAGAATTTAACTACAGGCATCTCTTCCTCAGGAGGGACAATGTGAGCAGCAATGGTGTCAAGCCCACGTGGGTGCCCTTCCACTCCACCCTGTCCTCTGAGGAGAAGCTGCCTTTCTCCCTGCGCCTCATGAATGGTAGGTTTTGGGTGAGGGTCTTCTCTCAGGGCTGGCCTCTGAGGTGGACATGTTTCTGATAGATGGCACAGCTGGTGCTGGTATCACCCAGTGCTCCTGGAGCAGCTGGGCTTTGGTATGGTTTTGGTGAGTACCTTGTGCTTGTTGGGGTTTCCTTGGGTGGAAGCAGTGAAGCACAAGCTGGCTTCCCATTCATGAGTGCCTGGTGATGTCTTCTTCCAGATGACTGGACTGCTGAGAGAGTCTCCACTATATTTCAACTGGGAGATGTCCTCCATTTCCAAGCTGGTGTCAACACAGAAAACCATGCACCTCTGAGGCTTTTTGTGGACACCTGTGTGGCCACCCCGACCCCAGATAGGAGCTCTTCTCCCCAGTATGCTTTCATTGACTTCAGTGGGTAAGAGCCAGCTGTTCCCTTATTCAGAGACACCTTTCTGCGGGTTATAGATATCTCTGACAGTGGGATCTTTCTGGCCCTCAATTTTGTGTCTAGGTGCCTGGTGGATGGGCAACTGGAAGATGCCACCTCAACTTTTATATCCCCAAGACCCAGGCAAGATGTGCTTCAGTTCACAGTTGATGCATTCAAGTTTGCAGGAGACTCCAGCAATCTGGTAAATCCTTCCTAAAGCAAGTGAACTCCCTTGTCTAGGCAGGGCCTCACTCCTTTAAGAAAGTTAATGTGCTTTTTGTCTAGAACTACATTCCCAAGGAAACCGCCTCATAGCAACATATGAATAAGGCCACCCTGTATTACTACTGGTTCATCACCCTCTCAGCCAAGGATTTTCCTTGGAGACCAGTTCTGATACTAGTCAAGACAAACCCTTCTGACGGGCTTCAAAGCCTGAATCCTTAAGTGGCTTGAAGGAAGCAGAGGGTTTGAGCTGCCCTGGGGAGTTGGTGGTCCCATTGGAGACCAGCTTCATGGTGTATGGGAATGCCATAAAGGCAAATGCCAGCCTAACCCTTCTGCTCTGCCTGGCCTCCCCAGATATACATCACCTGCCACTTGAAGGTCTCCCTGGCTGACCAGGCTCCTGACCCTCTGAACAAGGCTTGCTCCTTCAACAAAGCCAGCAACCTGTGAGTAGCTGGAACAGCAGCTTGCCCAAGGGTAAAGCGCTTGGGCTTCTCATCTAGTGTGCCATCTTCCAAGAAGGTGGGGTTGGCCATCTGGGCAGGAGGGTTTTGGTCTCTCCTAGGAGACCTCAAAGCATGTGAGGAATTCCTATCATAGGATGGGCTGGTCATCAGGCTTTCTTTTAGCTGGGCTCCTGTAGAAGGCACCTGGGATGTCTGCTCCTGCTGTGAGATGAGGAGCTGCGGCTTGGCCAGGCACTCCAGGAGGCTCCATGCTCCTTCTCGATGGCAAGGAGGACGTGCCCGGAGAGAACTGCCCTCCCAGCTTGGTATGTCTCAATGTGCTGCTTGGTCTTTGTCACCATTGTGGTAACTTGCTCAGAGCTGGGTGGCTGGAGCTGCCTCACTACCTGTTGGCTCCTCAGTGCTAATCCAAGACTTGGGAGAGCTAGATGTTCAAATGAGTTTGAGTACTCAAAGGTGGTCCCTTTCAGATCCCTTGGTGAAAGAAGCAGATGTTGTGGTTGGACCTCTCTTCATCCACAGCTGGCAGGACCGCCCAGTTAGGAGGATGCCTTCACAAGGTGGGGCAAACCCAGAGAAGGGGGATGGTTTGTGCAGCAGGTCCTGACTCTGGCCATAACTCCCTCCTTACTTCTCCCTAGATACAGGTCACTTGTGGATGGTATTGGGGCTGGCTGCAGTTGCTGGTTTCGTCATCCTGATCCTTGCTGTGCTGGGAGCTCTAACTGTCTGCCGGACACCCAGCAACCCCGTCTAAGTCACTGTTTTCAACTTTTATAGTCTACCCAATAAAAATAAATTGAAGGGCTGTGAGAAGGAGAGACAGAGAAATCAAATCTTCATGCTAACTAACTGTGCTTCTTTGTCTCCCTAAACCAAACATGAGTATCTCATTCTCCTGAAGCCCTGTCCTCAGCAGAGCTTTGTACAGCCTTACACCCCCATGAACTTCTCCCAGAGCACCTAGTTGGGAGCTATACAAAAAATCACCAGATGCTCTGTTTTCTTGTCTGTGGAAGCATGGAGTTGTGTTTAGCCTCAATGTTTTACCTTTCTGTGGAGCTACTTGGGTCTGCTCCATACTGGCAACTCCTAACTTAATAAGCCAAGGGGAGCTAAGGGTTTAATAAAACTTGGACCACTTTCCTCCTGCCTGAAGCTGTTTCTGGGAAAGAAATCAAGCTTTGCTGGATGAGGAAGGGAGCTCAACTCTAGGGTCGGTGGGTTGGGCTCTTCCTGGGACAGACGCAGGCAGGAATTCCAGTCCCTGCCCCAAGGACTGTTTACACATAGTTATGCATTTCAGCCAAGGCTTGTTACATATAAACAGTCCTTGGAGCAGGGACTGGAATTTCTGCTCCCACTCCCCCCCCCCCCCCACCCCCTCCAGAAAGGGGCTTTCTGACATGCCTGAGTCACACTTGCTTTTTTTTTTTCCCCTCCCAGTGCTGTGAAATTAGCGAGTAGCTGTAATGGCAAGATGTTCTATGCACCAAACCAGAGACCTGTTGCTCCCCACTAGCTGGGAGAGGTTCCCGTTTTAGGCAGCAGTAGGAACTGGACCAACTGAACATCTTGGGATGTGGTGTTTGTCAGGTGGCTGGATTCATGGAAAACTTGAGACCTCCAAGGAGCAGGGTCTTGCTTGCAGCATGGCAACTTCTTGAGCTGGTTTTGCAGGGCCCAGGAGGAGTTCCGCAACCTCCTAGCATGCTCTGGGGGAGCTTGGGCAGCTCTCTTGGTTGTGAGGGACAGAGGAAATTGGTGTCTTGCACAACCTAGCATGTCTTTAGGTGTCATCCAGCACCCCAGGGTCCCTCAGCTGGACGCCCTTTAATAGATGTCACCTTACAGTGGGATCTCTTTGGTACAAAGCTGGAGTTGAGAGTTTGGGTCACCTAGACCCCAGTCCCACCCCTTCCCTCGGCTGCTCATGGATCTAAAAGCAAATTAACCCTCCCTCAAAATCAAAAGGTTAGTTCTGGGTTGGATGAGGGACCTGCAGTGACTTTGGGTTAGGGTTGTCAGTATGGCTTCTTTCCTCATCCATATAATCTGACCCTTGCTGGAGGGGTTTGGTCCTTGGGTTGCAGCAAGGTGGGAGGTAGGAGATTTTAGGGGGAATAGCTGCCTGAGAGCTGTGAGCTATCTGCTTTTGGGGCAGAAGGGAGAGGAGGGGGGCATGGAAACATGGGTAGAAGTGATCTCAGAAGGTCTCCAGTCCAATGCCAGATGTATCGGCCTTGCTGAGGCTGGCAATGTCTGTAGGTGAAGATGGGCCTGGCCCAGGGCTGCACCAACCCCCTTGGAGAAGTACTTTCTTACCCAGCCTCAACTTCCCAGGCCATGAGTTGTGGCTGCTGACACGTTAAATCTTCACATAACTGATTTCTTCTTGCTCAGCTTCTTCTCTGCATGTTCAATGTCCTGACCATCCTGCTCTGAGCAGGGACTACCTCTCATAGAGGAGCCTTTTGAATGACAACCCTTCTCCATGCCACTCAGCACAGCTACACTGCAGCCATTCTACCAAAATGCCTCAGTTGGCTCCAGGAAGGAAGACAAATACCAGTCAAATCTGTCCCAGCTGTCCCAGTCCAGCAGCTCCTGCCCCTTGCCTGGGCAGCAGCCCTGGCTCCAGCAAGGCTTAATGGCAGCAGTGACCTTGCTGCCTGATGAGAGATTTTTGACTTAAACTCTGTTATAAGAAAAATGAGATGTGCTTTAAAGTCTCCTTTATACAATGGGGGAAAAACACAAGGTTTTGTGCTTGTCTACTGCCCTGGGGCTTTCTAGTCTCTGCTTCCTCTAAAAAAAACAAAAAAAAACAAAAAAACCCCAAAAAAACCCCAAACAAACTCCTGCACTTTCCCAACTGTGCTGGTCTTTGGCCAGTGTTGTTCTTGAATAAATATGGGACAGCTGACCCTGGCCAGGGCTAACCTGGGAGCAGAAATTCCCTTTTTCATAGAGAAACACCACCTCTGCCCTGAGGCTGGGTGTGTTTATCTCTGCTAATTTGAGCTGTGTAAACACAAGATGACCAATCAGAGGGATTTATTCTCCTGCTGGGATCAAGCCCTGGTACCCAGAGACCCACAACCTAACCCTAGAGCTGGGCCCTGAGATGTGGCACTCTGGGATGCAATGGGGTAAGACCAGGCATCTCCTGCGGTCCTTGCAGCCAAGGACCCGTCCCAGCAGTGATGCTCTCTCCTGGGGAGTGGGGCAGCCAGTTATTCACTGATTGCTGCTGCTGTTATCTCCCTGATGCTCAGCCTGCTGGAATCCCTGGCATTTCTACGCAAGTGCCAGTCTCAAGGTATTCTAAACATGAAGGAGAAGTCCTGGATGCGATTACAGCAGCAGGGCTGGGGCATCAGCTCCCGGAGGAAAGGAGGAAGGTTTTACTCTGGCCTGTGCACGGGTGGGTTTTGGGGATGTTGAGTCAGGCACAAGCCAGTCCCAGCTCCAAACCCAGCAGGATTTCTTCTAGGAGTGGCCTGATCGACATCTGCCCCCCAAACTTTCTGTTTCTTTTCATTTTCCCAGAAATAGCTCGGCTGCTCCAGCTCAAACATCCAAATCAGAGGCTTTCTACTATCCCTAGGGCTTGCCAGGGACATCCCAAAAAAGAGAGAGGGATTTGGAGTATGAAACAGAGCATCTCTTGTGCAGAGCCAACAGGATGCTTGCAGAGTGCAGAGCCCTGGCAGGGAACAAGAGTTAAAGATGCTTGAAAGAAGAGACAGAAACTCCAATAATGAGGCTTGAAAACATATAGGGTTTATTTTCAAGCAGCTGTCCCTGTTTCGCAGCTGTGAGAGCTGGACAATGCCCAGCTCATAGGGGGTGGGATGCAAACTGGGATGCTTCAGCGTGGGGAAGGGAGCAATGGGTGGAACCCCTCACCTCCGGTTGCTTCTACTCCAAGCCCATTTTGTTGAAGGCAACAAAACAAACACAACCCAAAGAGCTAGGGAAGGGCAGCAGAGATAGAAAAGAAAGGTTGAGGCTCTGCAGCTAATGACCTCACTGCAAAGGCTGAAATGAGGGTTATTTGGCCCCAGCCGAGAACGGCCATGCTTGTGTCAGTGGTGAGAGCTCTCCATCAGCTGCTGCTGACCGAACGTCCTGGTCTCGGCCCCGCTGAGGAGCTGGGGGACGCGTAAAGCCCCTTGTTTGGGCTGGAACTGTGAGCATGTGGGCTCCCAGCCCCCTCAACACATCAGCATCCAAGCGGAAAACCAAAGTCCCAGGGGGGTCAATGGCGCCAGGCAAGGATGGTCCCTGCAGAGGAGACGGGAAGCACCCGGATTGTAATCATGGACCCTGCTCTCCCCGCTCCTGCCACCTCCCCAGCAGCCTTGAAAAGCCCCTTATCACCTTATAACCTAAACAAGTCACTTTGTACCAGTCTCCCCGTCTCCGGCTTCTGCTGAGTTTTATAAACAACTTCCCCAAAGAGGCTGACGAGGATGTTTTCTCTCGCCTTGGGCAGCCCAGGAACAGGGGGTCCCAGCACCCCGGAAATGACTCGGTCATGCCCGCACCCCTGAGGGCTGGCCTTTGGGTGCCATTGGTCCCCAAATGGGAGCACAGGGGCGGACGGCTCCTGTTCCAGGGGAGGATATAAAGGCTGGAGGAGCAGCCCTGGGTCTCTGTGCCGAGGTTTGCTGGAAGAAGGAGAGATGGGACCTGAAAGCAGCCTGATCCTCACTCTTCTCTGCTGGGCAGCGGGCGAGGTGGCTGCCTACCCACCCTGGGATTTCTCCTGGGGTGACCCAGCGAGACGAGGGGCAAGGGCAGACCCCCACCCCTGGTCTTGGGTGGAGGACCCCCAATCTAGAGCCATCTCCAGCCAGCAGCAGCCGGTGATGGTGCAGTGCCAGGAGGCTCAGCTGGTGGTGACGGTGCACAGGGACCTCTTCGGCACCGGTCGCCTGGTCAACGCAGCCGACCTGACGCTGGGGCCCGCAGCATGCAAGCATTCCTCGCTGAACCCTGCCCACAACACCGTCATCTTCACCGCCGGCCTCCACGAGTGTGGCAGTACTGTGCAGGTAAGACCTTCTCCCCGTGGTACCTCCACCAGTCCTGGGATCCCACAAGGCATCCCCCCCCATCCTGGAGCAGTGCCAGGCTGTGGGACTAGGCACCGGGCAGCCCCTGTGATGCCGGGGGAGCTCCGGGTGCTGGACACAGAGCACCATCAAGGAACATCCTAGTGGAAGGACGAGCAGGTGTTTCCTCCAAACCTGTGCATTTTTCCCCGAAGCTGGTTTGCCCTTTCAGCTGGAGACATGCTGATGGCACAAAACCCCCCATGTCAGACCCATTTCACTTGTGTTTTGGCCCATTAGGAAATTTAACTTGCTGAGAACAGGGTGGGACTCCTTCTCCACCCCTTTTCCCTGGCTTTTCCCCCGCTTTCTTTGGATTTCCCAGTTGGGAAAGGGCAGCTACATGGCTTGGTGGTGGTAGGAGGTGGGGGTGGCCTCTCCAATTGCTTCTCAATGCTTTTCTGCCCAGATCACCCCGGATTCCCTCATCTACCGCACGCTCCTCAACTACGACCCCAGCCCCGCCAGCAATCCCGTCATCATCCGCAGCAACCCTGCCGTCATCCCCATCGAGTGCCACTACCCCAGGTAAGGCCTTCCTGTCCTCGGTACCCCCCAGCCTGGTTCCTAAGGACCAGCATGGGGCCATATCCTGATGCATGGTGGTCCTTACCCAGGAGGGAGAACGTCAGCAGTAACGCCATCCGGCCCACCTGGGCTCCGTTCAGCTCCATGCTGTCGGCAGAGGAGAGGCTGGTGTTCTCCCTGCGCCTCATGAACGGTAGGTGGGAAGCCATTGCGACCTGCAGATGGGGATTTTCCACCCTTTTCCCGGTGTGGGGGAGCTCAGGGACCCAGCACCCCACTGGGGAAGCCAACCCACCCATGGCAAGCACCTTTTGGGCTGAGCCTTGGCTCTAGTCCCATGGGAGCTTGGGGACACTGGAGCCACCCACACTTTGTCACCCCGACACTGCCTTCCAGAGGACTGGAGCGCTGAGAGACCCTTCACCGGTTTCCAGCTGGGCGACGTCCTCAACATCCAAGCAGAGGTGGGCACCGAGAGCCACGTGCCGCTGCGGTTGTTTGTGGACAGCTGCGTGGCCACCCTCAGCCCTGGCACCGATTCCTCGCCCCACTACACCATCATCGACTTCAATGGGTGAGCCCCGGGGACCTGCCAGCAGTGGCACACTGGGGGGACCCGCCGGGATGCTGACCCCTGCCCCGTCCCACTGCAGGTGCCTGGTTGATGGGAGGTCGGACGACACCAGCTCTGCCTTCATCACCCCCCGGCCCCGGGAGGACATGCTGCGCTTCAAGATCGATGTGTTCAGGTTTGCCGGGGACACCAGGAACCTGGTAAGGCTGCATGTCCCTCCCCCACCAGCCCCAAACCAAGCCGATGTCCCCCACCAGTGGGTCCCCACCTCTCTCGCTTGCCCTCCCCACAGATCTACATCACCTGCCACCTGAAGGTGACCCCAGCGGACCAAGCCCCGGACCCCCTGAATAAGGCTTGCTCCTTCAACAAAGCCAGAAACACGTGAGTAGCCACCGCACCGGGACGGGACACATCTGGGCAGGTCCCCACCAGCATCCTGCAGTCCCAGCATAGATGGGGATGTGTCACGGACACAGACTCAGGGGGCACGAATGTTCCCTGGGTGCAGGGGATGATTCTGGTGACGACGCTCCCACCCTGCTACAGGTGGGCACCCGTGGAAGGCACCCGGGACATCTGCAGCTGCTGCGAGATGGGCAACTGCGAATCCCCTGCGCTCTCCCGGAGGCTCAGCCCCCTGGAGCAATGGCCTGGCCGCCGCTTCCGCCGCCACGATGCCAACGGTAAGGTCCCTGTAGGGATGGAGGGGACACCCCGGGGTTGCAGGTCAAGCCTGCCTCATCACTCCTTCCTCCCTAG